TAATTATATTTCAGTACTGCTTGGCAGGAAAACAAATAAGATGTTGATCTAATACACTAAGAACAGGATGAGGGAAAGCTGGAAAATGGAACTGTGTTAAATACAACTGCACCAAAACCGACTTTATATTATCTTACAATTTTGTGCTTTGAGACTTGCTTACAGAAGAACTAGAGCAATTAGAAATGTAAATTCAAGTTTATCTTGTGTCCCTGAGTCAGAGGATGAACTACAGAAAAGTTATTTTTGCCAGACTGTATCACCACACTTTAAATTTGATTTCTAAGTGCACTCTCATCTCAGCCATTACCCTGATAAAAGGCTGATGGCATTGTTAAATACACTCCTAAATCTTGAGCAAAGACTGTTTTAACAGATCAGAAGAATCTATCTTGGGGAAGAAGGAATGAAAAATACTGAAAGTTAAAATAAGAGGCAAACACTGATCTTCAGATGCTATAGTGCCATCCATTCAGCGCATAACATGTGCAGTGAAAAAAATGCACTAGGATTATAATACCCAAATGATCTACAGCAAATGAAATAGAGATAGAACTAGGAAACCTCCTCCTCTTTTTTTTTTTTTTTTTTTTTAATACAGCCTTCTCCTCCCTAATACTGCTCCATCTCTTAATTCTGCTGAACAAAAAGAGAGGCTTTTCTCCTTCTGTGAGTATTCCAGCAAGCACCAAAAGTATCTTACTGACTTCCACATAGCTAATACCCAACTTCATTATCCAATTTTTCTGCTTGATACCTGTGCTTTGAATCTCGAAATCCTGTTCTAAACCCTCAAACCAAGCTACTAACATTCTACCTCAATTTTTTGTTTTTCTGGACCTGAACAAGTCAAAAGAAGTATGCTAAACCCATGCAAACAGCTGAAACAGCTTCTAGTGTGGAAGCATATCAACTGGCATGCACATATAGGAAGAAAGCTTTATTTTGAGCATCCTCAAGGATTCAAACAAGAACTGCAAGTCTCCAGAAAAGTCTGCCTCTGCTGGTGGCTATGACGGAGATACGCAAGAAAGGAAACATACATGAGGACAGTATTACACATGTCCCAAGTAAAACAAATTAAATAACTAAGTGCTTTGTTAGTAAACTCTAGAAGTTACTGTAAAAGAAGCAGAGCTCAAAAGCTGGTTTTCACATCTATAATCCCTTTGAGTTCATAAAAGTGAAACAACAGATATCACAGATTTCTTTATCAGGTGTCGTGGTTTAAACCCAGTCAGCCACAGTTTCTACTCCCCCCCCACTCTATCTTTCCTTCCCCCCCCCCCCCCAACCTCTCTGCTCCTGGAGGGACAGGGAAGAGAATTTAATAATGTGACTCCCAAGGGTTGAGATAAAAACAGTTTAGTAACTAAGGTATAACACAAACCACTACTGCTACCACCAACAATAATAACGATAAGAGAAATAACAAGGGAAAAGAATATGATACCACCCGCTGAAATGAGTCTGACCGAGAAGCAAGTGCCCCTCCGGGTAACTCCCAGTTACCTCCCCAGGCACGACGTGCTGTGGTATGGAAAACATCTTTGGCTAGTTTGGGCCAGGTGTCCTGTCTCTGCTTCCTCCCCGCCTCCCCTCCTCCCTGGCAGAGCATGAGACTCACAAAGTCCTTGGCTGGAGTAAACATTACTGAGCAACAACTAAAAACATTGGTGTTATCAACACTGTTCCCAGGCTGAAAGTCAAAACACAGCACTGCACCAGCTACTAAAAAGGAGAAAAATTGACTGCTACTGCTAAACCCAGGACAACAGGAAACTTCTCCTTTCTCTAAATCCTAAAATATGTTATTTTCTTCTTAAACTTTATAACTGTCACAGGCATTTGCAAGCTGCACTCATTGCTGTGCACACACCCCATATACAATATTTTTCATTTTGTTGTTAAACTTTTCTCCTTAAATATTTAAATATTATCATGGTCCAACCCACAAACATACAACAGCCCTAAAATAAAGCTACACTTAAGAAAGTTTCAAGGATCACACAGTTAAAAGCATGCAAAATGAAAGGGCGGGTAAAACCATGGTCAAAGGATGACAGCAGGCCACAAAGCACACATAATTTTTGAGGATAAATTAGGCAAAACATGAGAATGGAAGAGGCATCAGGCACCACAAGCTTATGAATATGAGGTCTCCAAAACACATTCACTTTGCATCACTCTAGTTTTGAAAGCAAGTTTTGCAAAGGATGCAATAAACTTCAGTGCACAGACACTGATTTTAATTAGAATTATCTTGTAATTCTTTCTTTAATGACAAAGTAGTTCAATATCATTGTGCTGTTGACCAAATCAAAATCACTGAAGTGCAATCATGCAAAGCTGTTTGTGAGGTTATTTACTAGCAATTTTTATTTCCTGCTTTTCCTGGTGACAAATTCTTGGCTTTTAACTGGTTATGGAATATGATTCGGAGAAAACTCCAGGAACAAACTTGCCAACAAAGTTTTCAAGCTGACAAGCAGGTATTCTTTATTGCGGCGCCGGGAGACACGGGGGATAAATCCTCCTAACGTGTGTCCCCGTACTGCTATTCAAGCCACCCTTATATAGTCACTGGGCATACATACATATTCATGAGGCTACGTATGGATTACATCATTTTCCAGAGAGTTCCCCGCATGCGTACAGAATTGTGGTGGTGGTCTCTGAGGGTCGGTTATTTCTTCCAACAATCTTCATCACTTCTGGCAGCCTTTGAAGCACGCGCAGTAGATGCTCATACCAGTTTAATTGGTTCGTTAGCACCAGAGACATAATAATCCTCCTATCCTCCTACTTATCAGTTAGTTTAACTGTAGCCCATCCTGGACACCTGCCATTCCCAGATACTCCTTATCCCTGTGTCCTGTTCTTCTAGACTGTTTTTCTTAAAACTAGGCCAACTATAATGATTTATCTTGTGAGAATTCTTAGTATGTTCTCTAGTTGTACTCTGTTTTTTTTTCTCTATGTATCCTGCACCTCAGTAATTTTCCATTGTTACTGTTACAAAGCCATCAAACTTAACATTACTTAAAACTTCTTATAAAAGTTTCTATATCCCATTTTGTGATTTTGTGCCCCTTTGTCTCAAATATGATTAATTATTTGAAGCTGATCTAGGAGGATTTAGGTCTCTATAGCTGTTGAAATGATCCTTATTGAGCAACATTTTATATTTTTCTAAATATTATAAATGGAAACACATAAATTATAGAAAAAAAACCTGATTTCCTACATTTTTTAAAAAGCCTTATTATAGCCAACAGCTTTCAGATACAGCCTCTCTCACATCTTCTGCTAAGTGATCTCAAAAAAATTTGGGAAAGTTTACAGGAATCTCTGAAAAATTCATAGCTGCACACATCAGTTTCTCATGGTAAGTTGCAAACCAAAAATACATATTTAATATTAAGCAGGAAAAGCAAAGTCAAGTTCATACACAGTTTGATCTGAAAAATAAATTTAATGTATTTCAGGCTTTACACATACCCATATAGTTATGTTTTAGGCAGTATTCTCAGCATGCAACAAGAGGCAGTTTTGCCTTATTGACTACTATGCTATTGCCTTATACAAATTTCCTTTCCTTTTTCATTGTTTTAAACATGAAAAAATTAAATACTGCAAGTCATAAGGAGAACAACGCCACGCTAGCCAGGAGAACAACACCAGGCTAGCAATCCACCATCTTGAACCTTTGGCAGGAATGTACTGTACCCAAGGATTCAGGTAATTACCAGAGCTCTACATAATAGTCTACATTAATTCTGAGTTGACTACAGATACAGAAAGCTGGCTTCTCAATGAATTTTCATCCATCTAATATAGCATGTGATTTCATAATATGTGTTTGAAATACAAACCGTATGAACAAGGGGAGATAGGATATGTTGTAAAGACAGTGATGCAACTTTCTTGAACGAAATGCCAGAAAATAAATTTGCAATACAAGCAGCTAGTCTGCGTGTTAACTAAATGAAATTGATTTCCTAGCAACTAGCACAGAGCTTGCTGATGCCCCAAAGAGTAAACCAAAGTCAGGCTTAGTTGGATAATCAGGTGTATTTCACAAAAAAATTCTCCAAAAATTTAAGGCAGGGTGTATAAGTCAGGAAAATGGTGGTCAAAAATGAAATCAAATCTGGAAAGAGAAACAGAGTACCCAGGACTGTCTTTATTGCTTTTTGCACACTAAGTGAATTTTTATCCCTATGCATATTCTTTTTAAATTGAAAAATGAAATGTTTCGTATGGTCACCTGCTTTAACACTTTCCACATGAGTTCTTTTATTATGAGTTTACATAAGACTACTCTCCTTTTATGTTTCTTCTTGCCTACCCTCCTCATTATTTCTTATTTAGCTCCCTTTTCTAAGGGAAAAGTACAGGAACAAAATTACCCTAAACTTGCTTTTCTGAAAGTGATTATATACTCCCTCTGTCCTCTATTTCAGCTGTTTGTTCAGAAATAAAAAGTTTAGAAAGGAGAAAAAGCTAGCCTTACATGATCTAATAAAATAAAAGAAAATCATTAATTCTTTCATTAAAGAAGAATAAGAGTTTGCCATGAAAAGGTGTTGAGATATTTTGGGGGTTTGTTTTGGGGTTTTAAGTCATGATGCAACATCTTAACACAGAAGAACCCATAACACCCTCAGGTATGCTCTGGAGATCCCATATGTCACTGCAGTGAGGGGAAACACAGGACATGAGATCTCAGCCTGCAGACAGGCTACCTACCCTGCAGGTCTAAATTATTTTCCAAGCATTTGTTTACACTTACTTAGGTTTCTCTAGAAGATCCCAGTATGAACATTTATCCCAGTCATCCAATTAAATACACTGCTAAGGAATGTCTTCCGAGAGCAAATTATTTAATTCCCCAATGCAAGAACATAGCAAACTCCTTTAGATTAAATCATTCTGTTCTGAAAAACCTGGATGTGAAACTCTTCCATGACTCACAAAGTTTTCTCATATCTCACCAGCAAGAACTCGGGACCAATACACCTACAGCTGAAAGAAGGAAAGCCTGTGAAGCACTCTCTGTGGGTATGTGGGATGCAGGTTCATTTTTATCCACCAGATATTCTGTAGAGATAGAGGATTTAAAAAAATCTATCTTCATCAAAACTAATACATAATTCCTGCAATGAGAACTTGAGTTTAACAAATCCACATTTCTGAGAAAAAATGCTGAGAACCTTAAGTTCTGACACAGCTTTATTAGTTTTAGTGATTACTAAAGAATTTTCCTCCTGCCTTAGATCTTGACTCCAAATCCAAAACAGAGAAACAAATGGCCAGACAGCACCAGGCAGCTCTATTTCAGCACTGTGTCAGAAGGGACCTAGTAGCAGATTCAGAGATAATTATTTTAAGAGCTAGGTGACGATCCTAGCCTAAAATACCTTTCTGGCTTCCAGCAAGCAATTTAGGCACTGTCAAGTTGGAAGTTACAATTACACGACAGCACTGATAGCTACTGATTCCATTCTCATTTAGCAAAAATTCTTTTTTGATTTCATTGATGCCTTTTTAATTCTCTGTGACACAGGATTGGCTCCACCAGTGGAGCACTGACCTCCACAGCGTCATGTCTAAAGTAGTTTGCCATGAACAACACAATAGACTGAATCAGCAGACCATAAGATGAGAGAATATCCTTCACTAATAAGCAGTTCCGAGTTCCATCAAAATACTAGAAAGAGAAAAGTTCAGTGATTTCTGTTTTTAAAAAGAAGCCAATTTACTAAGTGCTAAGAAAAGTGTGATTTGAAAACACAGAGGATGATTTGCGCTTACAAATACAATTCACTGGCACTGCTTCACACTTACATTCTGGTCTTTTAAACTTAGTGTAACAAGAAGGATCATATGACAGGAGTTTATTTAATACTTGAACAAGATAAAAAACCCTGTCAAAACACCACAGAAAGATATCTTCCACCTAAGAAAGGGTACTTTCAATAAGCACCAGAAATATTATTTACAGACTGATCTTCTCAAGTTAGGATACTAGGTTTAATTTGTGGCATCTTCATAAGTATTAGTATATTGAATACACATTTTCTCTTCAGACACATGATTTATGGCATCCATTCTAATTTGAACCTTGACTTGTTAGAATCAACCCCTATTTGCCTTGTTCTTAAACAAACAGAGCTTGCTAGCTAACTTTAATAGGCATCTGGAAACAAGCCTCACAAAGGCTACTTGCTTCAGTTCTGTGCCTATATAATTATGAAGCTGGTTTTGTTACGCAGAGCCTGATCCATCATTCTCTTTAGTGGTTTGATAGAGCTGCACAGCCTATACACAAGGGTGTTACTACCTGAACCTGCATACTAGAATATGCAGTATTTCTCAAAAAAACATTCAACAAGGCTTTGATAATATTCTTTTAACTCTGTCAAGGTAACCTCTGGCATATAAAATAGTAACATAGGAAAAAAATATCAGAATTTACTATATAAAAATTATACAAAATAAGCAAGAGGTTCAAAACTATTGACCCCATCCCTTTTTTCTAGGGTGTGATTTATTCCTCCTGACTGTAGTCAATGGTGGGTCAACACCATTTCATCCCCCTGCTTACATCATCATTATAACTCATCTTGGTTTCAGTTTACAGAAATGTCCTCCAAAGATCAGGGCAGAGGGAAAATCCCTGTAATAAGAAGGAAGCCGATACACGCTGCATCAACAGCAAAACCAGAGAATACTGGGCAAATCAATAGCTCACGGACAGATGGCATAAAGGAAGGAAGAGAGTGAAAATAACAATGCCATGCAAACCAGAAAGGACTTAATGATTTGTTTTGAATCAGGTAAGCCCTTTATACTGCACTGACTAGAAAAAAATTAAACTTTTGTAGCATGATTTCTAATACAAGTAGTGCTGGAATTTCAGTGCCTGAACTAGATCCTTATACAGAGATATACACCACATAGATATAAGACAGCCCCAGAAAAAAATCACAAGTAACCTATCTAAGCTAGCACATTTTTTCTTTTCCTAGTAGGCCAACTCCCTATTATTTTTGTCCATATTAAAAGTCATCTAGATCAGTGTTTACAGATGTGAAGTATGGAAAGGTTCACAGGAAACACTGATATGTAAGAAATATCTTCCTTTGGAGAATGCTTCAGAAAAAAAAAAAAACAATATAATGTCCAATAGGTTGTTTCCATTGTGGTTTTGGCAAATCACCTGAAAGGACACAAGAGCCATCCCTGTATATTTGTAGAAGGAATACGAAATATGATGGCACTAACAAGGTGATTATTTTGGGCTTCATGATCCTCTGAAAGTCAGCCCAGTTAACAGCTGAATCACTCTCAAACACCACGGTTTGTCGCACACTGCAGGGGCCTCCTGAGAACTACCTCACCATGCTGGTTTGGTTCATGTCCACCTGCTAAACTGCATTAGTATACAGCTAGCTAAACAACCTCTTCTGCAAAGTGTTAGTGGCTGGCATTGTCTCTTCGATATCACAGACACAGACCTTGAAGTTGTAGTGCAGTTAGTATGCTCATCATTCAAGCTAAATAAAAAGCCTGAAACAAAACAATTAAGCTTCTTTATGGAGTGAGATAAAGAAAATAATAGATGCTACCATTAAAGATACTGAACTATGTGGCAATAACAGAGCAAGAACTAACGGGAGGGAAAAGGAGCACTTCCCAAGTGACTAATTCCACACACAGGAGTGGGCACATGGGTAAGTTATAACTGAAATCATATAAGAAAAATCAGGAACTCATGGAGAAAACTCCAAACATAGAAAATATTAAGAAGCATGAATGTGACAAGACACTAGGATGCCTAGAACCTGTACCAATGACATACTACACTACTGAAGTTTCCTTCCATCTTCCTGGAATTCAGCACTTAAACAGAACCAAAACACCTCCAGCAGGTCTTCTACTCCAAAATTTGTTGCTTCCTAACTGAAAACCTTCATGTCTTTAATGATCCTGAGGAACTAGAGCACTTTAGCAAGTCCAGCTAAAATGAAAACAACCAGGTTACCTCACTTCTTCAGCTGGGAAATATGTTGCAAAGCAACGAGGTCACAACTCATGAGACCATATCACAGGAGTGCAACCAGACCCATTTAGAGAAGGAGCAATGTAAGTTCATCGTAATTTATTGGCTTTTTGGAATATAATGTTGTATTCTAAACTGTTATTCTTAGTGGCATAATCAGGTAACTTAACATTGCCATTACTGCAATATTAAAAACAAGAAATCACAAAAAAATCTACAGAGATGACTACTGTTAGAACCCCTGGTTTGTTTCTATTGTTGTTATTTTTTGTTTTAAAACCTCCTTTCCTGTGCTCTTCCTCCCCAGTTCCTCTACCAGCCCATTACCAAGAGAATACAGAATATGGAAAACACATTTTGGCTACTTCCAGTACAAAACATAAGAGACAGTCAATTAGTGAGTCAGCAAGTCAATCATTTTTCTCTATAGCAAAACACCACCTGAGAAATAAAACATTACAGTGGAAGATGCAAGGGAAAAGAGAAGTTGTTTAATTGCTTCCGACTATCATATATCACAACACTTGCTGAAAATGATTTGGATAAATATAAAAAGTTAAGGCAGGATTACAATAGGATCTGATCTGCCACAAAAGCTCTACCCCCTGGTAATAACATTATAGTTATGCCTCTTGTAATACTCTATTGATGTGGCAGTGTGTCAGGGGGTCAAAGAGATTTATGCTTTCCTTACTTTTGTTCTTTCGTGTTAAACTGCCATTTTGGTAAGACTAGCACTTTGATAAAAGAACAAAACATCTTTATCTGAAGGCAGCAGTGGAATCTGAATGAACTACACCATACTCGTATAAGTAAACACAACTAAATTACTAGTACTGCTGCATATTTGAGGGTTGGTGGAGAAATATGTAAGAGCAGGTACCTGCTCAGAGACCAGTTTGCTGAGGGAACCATTTCTAAGGGTCCTCAGAAAGCAGTCAAGCCACTGATAACCTGCCTAGCTAGAATTAATGTTTTTTCTATAAAATATACAATTTCCCCTCTGGCTTTAGACAGTAAATTACAGGGAAAGCCAGTTTGTTTTTTGTTATATATTATGACTATAGGGTAAGCAGATTCAAGGAGCATAGCATATTGAAAATTTGGCATCTTCCAGATTAAGGAATTTGTACATACTGGTGGCAAGTTAGAAACAGATCTTTTGGACAGCTGAAAGTTTTCAAGAAATGTATGACCCACCTTAAATTTATAAGCCTATAAATCTGGGACAAAAAAATCATAAGCTTAGTGCCATCACCTACTGTGTGGACATGGCATCCAGGTTCTAGGGCAGAAAAAAATTTAATTGGGTAGAAAAAAAACTACATAGAATACCGACATTTATGGAAACCAAAGAAACATACACCTTTTGTCCAATTAGGTACATGCCCAATAGTTGACTAAATAGAAAAAAACACCTTCAGCTGGGAACAATATTATTGATTTTTCTTCCCTATGGGACAAACCAGTTACAAAATAACTGCTTTCACATGGTTTTGCTATACTTAAATTATTCCTGCTGAACTTAGATTGTACATAGTACAGAAAAAGCTTTGTGGGATTAATCTAAACCTTACAGAATGTTATTAGACCCAAGCTATTCAACTAATGTTTCTTTCTGTACACTATACATAGCCTAAATTCCGTTAACAGCCAAAGAAGTCAGTCAAATCAGATTCAATGTGCAGAACTATTTGTTGATACCTCATGGAATCTGTAAGACATAAACAAGTGTCCTGAGTTAATATGACACAAGGAGACCAACTGTATCATACCTCTAGGTTTTTGCCAAGTGTAGTCCAAATTCTTTTGTGTTTTAGCAAGTCCTTTACCCATAACACACAAGCCCTATGTATGACCACTGTTCTCACATGCCAATTCAACGAAACTTGAAGCTGAAAATAAGATGTTAATCTGACCCTCAGTTGAAAGTGAGACAAAGGGGCACAAAATCACAAAATGGGATATAGAAACTTTTATAAGAAGTTTTAAGTAATGTTAAGTTTGATGGCTTTGTAACAGTAACAATGGAAAATTACTGAGGTGCAGGATACATAGAGAAAAAAAAACAGAGTACAACTAGAGAACATACTAAGAATTCTCACAAGATAAATCATTATAGTTGGCCTAGTTTTAAGAAAAACAGTCTAGAAGAACAGGACACAGGGATAAGGAGTATCTGGGAATGGCAGGTGTCCAGGATGGGCTACAGTTAAACTAACGGATAAGTAGGAGGATAGGAGGATTATTATGTCTCTGGTGCTAACGAACCAATTAAACTGGTATGAGCATCTACTGCGCGTGCTTCAAAGGCTGCCAGAAGTGATGAAGATTGTTGGAAGAAGTAACCGACCCTCAGAGACCACCACCACAATTCTGTACGCATGCGGGGAACTCTCTGGGAAATGATGTAATCCATACGTAGCCTCATGAATATGTATGTATGCCCAGTGACTATATAAGGGTGGCTTGAATAGCAGTACGGGGACACACGTTAGGAGGATTTATCCCCCGTGTCTCCCGGCGCCGCAATAAAGAATACCTGCTTGTCAGCTTGAAAACTTTGTTGGCAAGTTTGTTCCTGGAGTTTTCTCCGAATCAATTGGCACAAGTCATTCTGAAGCATGCAAATATTTGTTATAAGCTACAGTGAGTGACATTAAAGCGTCCAGGATACCAAGACTGACAGAGTACATAAATGGACTTGTGGAAAGCAGTCACTACACAATGCATTATTTGATACTAGTGGAGACCTGTCCTCCATGACGAGACATGGACAAACGTGCTGGTGCACAAGTTGAAGTTTCTTTTCTATTCCATACATTCGTAGATGCAAGCATGAATGCAAGGGCAATGTTTAAAGACAGTGATCGTGGACATCCGTGAGAGGAGTCTCTTAACAGTTAAGGACTTCCAGAAACCTGACACTCCATCAGAGTGTTATCTTTGACCTCTACTCTAACAGCATGCCATAATTAATCACTGCTATTTATAAAAAAGACATTTCAATTTACATTGAGAAGGATATGAGCAGAGATGCTGCTGGGCTGTTATCAGTGGAGACTCAAAAGGCAGAATCAGTTAGAACAGAGCAAGTAGGCATGCACACTTCCAAGAAAATAGCGACACCGAGCTGAAGCCAAGAAGGAAGAATCAATACCTGAATATCAGAAGCTCCACATGACATCGAGGTCTGTGAGCAAAGATTATCAAAGAACCAACACCATCCAGAAATTACTGGAAATAAATATACCATGAAGAATTAAAACTCAGTGTCAACCAGATACAATAATCAACAGACCTGTTAGTGTAATTATAAACATCAACCAGAGTCCGGTGCATGGTCATCACTCGAGAAAGAAATTCTGTTTGCTGGCACATATTACTCATAAATGCTATTCATATGAATAAAATACTGACTATCACATGGTAACGTTAAGCAGCATATCCAAAAGGCCACCATAAAAACGCTGATAATGCTTATTTAAAAGGGACATTCTTCCCCTACAACTCCTTCCCTCTTGGTTTCTTCAGGATATCAAATGACAGACTAGATGAAGATTCTTGTATTACTGATCCCAGTGCATTGCTGCGCAGTGTATACTTCAATGCAAGGGGAATAGGCTTCAAGACAAGGCCGCACAAAATAGGTGATATAAGCGCTTTATTAAGATCTCTGCATCCCACTCATCCACAGGTGCTATTGTTACCTCTGTTCTGACAAAAGGGTCAGGGGACACATGAAGTAAACCATGATCTGCCTTCTCTGAGTCACCTTTCTTCCTATAGCTG